AAATTTAGAAGATGAACTATGAAACAAAATAGCATTCTGCCAGACCACTGATTGAATGGGAGCAACAGTAAAGGCTTTTGTTGCTTCGAAGGCATCATTGATGCAGGATTACAGCTACTGCGAGAAGACTCCCGCATCGCTATGCTCCCACAGGACAGGGCCTCTCTTACTCCCAAGCTGCTTCAAATGCTGGAGTGCAAGGTTGCAAGGGCAGTTTCTCTTCCTCTGTAGGAATCCTTTGTCACTTTTAATGACAAACCAAATTTAGGCCTCATTTACAGCAGTGGATGTAACTCGTGACTGCAAAGGGTTACACATGATCCAAAGTTTTAATATTGAAAGAACAAAATCTGCAGAAAACTGAGGTGTCACTGCCAGTTCTTTCAGTTCAACATTCTTCCCCGAATCATTTCCTACGTCTATAAAGTGCAAACAATGTTTTCCACAATAGTGTTGTGAATTTCTGTAAAGCACTTTGAAACCTAAGATTTTAAAGCTGTCTTCACCAATTTGGACATCCACTACTTAACCATGTTCGAGATAAGAGTTAGGCAATCCAACCCTAGCGCTAGGAAAAAAAAAAAAAAGAAAAAGAAAAAAAAGAAAAATCACAGCTGTAGCAGTTACTCACTGATCTTACAAATTCTTACAGGTGATTTCCTTCCTCTGGCTAAAATAATCTCAAAATATAGATGCCTCTTTCAAATAAAAAGTTTATGAAGTTTTACTGTCTAGAAAGATGGCAAAACATAAATCCCATTCCTATAGAAAAATAACTCCATTAATCCACAGAATATTAAGAGATACTGTTCTACTATATGAACAGTTATGACAAAAAAGTTTGTTCTTTAAAAAAAAATTTCATACTAATATTTAAAAGATTCAGTTAAGGAAAATGAAAGGTGTTTCATTCTGCGATGCAGAACACTGAGAACCTGGTCTGATCTCACCGATGAGGCTGCTTTGTGCAGGAGGTTGCACTAGATGACCTGCAGAGATCGCTTCCAAGCTGACTGATTCTCTGATGCTATATAGATTCTCTGATGCTATACAGATGTTCACCATATGCTCATATCACAATTCAGGAGAGGAGGAAGCTTAAAAAAGAAGCCAAAGATTTCTTTACAACAACAAGCTGTCAATATTATTATGCACACATTAATTCTTGTATGCCTTCTCACCTACAAGCCTCCACATCCTATTTCAGAAATTAACACTTACCCAATGTTAAAAACACTGATGAAGATTATATAATAGCAGACTCAAAAAAGTAAAAACCTTGTAACTACAGAAAGTTAACAGTTCTGTGCAACACTACCAAATAACTTTGTCAAATATGCATTGAAGTTGCCTCTCCATTTTCTGTAAGATTACATGAAAGGACTGTGAAGTGAGCTGTCGCATCAACGGCGCCTCGGTCGAGCCCGTATTCATTCTGGCGCATTCTCTAGCTGTTGTCCAGCTCAGTTTACTTCCAATTGACAGTAACTAGCACGGGCTGACCCCAGAGTCTCACAGTCTCTCTCACGTACCGATACAGGAAATATGATTTCGTATGCACAATAATCCTTGTTTTCTTCCCAACCCACAGAGTCTGCTATATGTCGTTAGCTATTTGTACCATAAGTTAGCCATTTGCTAAGAACTGCTCTTTAACATCAAAATCCTTCTTTCCCCCTCTTTGCAGTAAAATGGATTCCAACGTAGCCAATAAAAGCAATCATTCTTTACAACACAATTATTTTGTAATTACTTACCATTTCTATATCTTTTCCTTTGTAAAAACCTGTACTCCAGAAGTACCTTTGCTCTTCAGAAGCTAGTTACAAGCGCTTATAAAATGCTTTTTTATTCCAAAACGCTCATTTCTAAGTGCTTTACTGGCAGAAGGACTTGGCATGTTTGCCAGAGGCAGCTGCGAGCAGCAGTACCCAGCCCTGCAGGCAGTCGCTGTCCGAATCCGTGACGGGAGGGCCGAGCCGAGCCACCGGCGCGGCGCGCGGGCTGACCCACCGGCTGCGGCAGCGGGAAGAATGCCACGGTTATTTTCAGACGTTGCATACAAGCCACATGAACGCATCACAGCAAATTTAACATTAGGTAACATAAGTCGTTAAACCCCCATTCACGTTCTCCCCCCCAACCCCACATCCAAACTGTTCTCTCAAAACTACATCAAGCACACCTGTCTGAAAGGTTTTTTTTCTTAAATACTATGATTTTTATACAGAAAAACATCCTTCCTCACATGCAGCAGTTGCCTCATTTCCCTTTGTCTTCTAGATTTTATCAGGTTTGTATTCATCAAAACTCATAGTGCTATGCTAAACAAATCCTGCATTGCCTAGAAATGTCTGCTCTGTGTTTACCACAGAGCAAAGAGAAGCAGAATAAAGACAGATTAACTTTCGAAACAGCTTTAGTTCATTCTGTTGCATTCATTTATGTTCAGATTTGGTGCTTTTTCCACAGGTGGTATGGCACCACTGTGAGAAGCAGCAGAGATACCCGCACTTACAAATAATCTGAGCATTTTGGTTGTGCACATCTTTGTAGGAGCAGCCATTTAACATTTTCCCTAGGCTAAGATTTTACTTTCTTGGTTTGTCTTTATGGACAAGTTTGCCTTATTAATTGCTAAGTATTGCTAAATTCAACATTCCCACTCCTAGCCAATTTTCCCAATACCACAAAGAAATATCAAACTAAGCACAACTGCTCAATTATCTCACAGTTAGTCATAAGTTGGCCAATTCCCAGCTTCTAACTGCTTTGGTATTAGCTCTGCATGCTTATCCTCATTAGTGTTAGGCTGTTACGAAAGTTGTAATGACAATTGATTTCTGTACAAAGATAGCACTGACTCAAATACAAGCAAATGAAACTTTGGGCATGCTTTCCTCAAAATTTCTCCAAAAAAGCCCCTACACAACAAGAGCAGCACAACCAACCTTCCCCCTTCTACAGTCACTTGTATTGCACCTGCTAGAGCACTGCCCACATGGAAGGCTCCGGCACCTCCGTATCTGACATGCGGGGGAGGAAGGTGAGGGAGAAGAGGCCGCCGAAGGAGACGAGCAGCAGTCCCTGTGCTGCCCAGCGCAGGTGGCAGCTCTTCCTCCCCACCTCCCATCCCCAGCAGCTGCCTGCTGCTGGAGAGGTGCGCAGGGGAGAGGCAGCGCTGCTGCCCACAGCTGGCTGCAGCTGGACAGAGCAAGGTTACCGAGAGCAGACAGGTACAGCATCACCGCGTGGGGACCACTTTGATCATCTCCACACCTTTTTTGGTAAAAAGTTTCAGGAGATACACTACCTTTACTCTAAGACCTAGGTATCGGTTGTTTGACATGTCATTGCAAAAACATACCAGCCTCATTCAAACACTTACTGGAAATATTCACAAAGGTCACAATAACATCATGAATATAAAAATAGCCACAAGATACTTGCTTAGATAAATTTATTAGTGCATAGGTTAGAGATTTACTCCCCTCCAATACTAACAAAACAAAGAGGTTCATGTGAAAAACAAGTTTTGTTTTGTTCAAAACAAAATCATTGAGGCAGCTATACAACAACAAGTAAGAAGTGTGGAGTGGCCTACTCAAATTTCTGGTCTTGATGGGCAAATTATTGCATTATAAATAAAAAAATTCAACATGACGGGATTTTGGGGGACATTTTAGATAACCAGCTGTTAAACAGCAGAACTGGTTTTTTCCCCCAATCTAATTTGTGTCTCTGTATAAATACTATTTACTGATAAAAATCTAGAAAACTATAGAATAAAAATATATTTTAGCAAGAACAATACTAAGGCAATCAATCTTTCCTTACTTTGCATGTAAACTTCCTCACAAACATCGGTGAGTGTTCTGGACTTAGAGGTAAAGAAATTTGTTCATTAGTGAAGCCAAAATTTTTCAAACGACTTCTTTATGGCTGGCTTGCAAAAAGACCAATAAATTTGTTTTCTTTTTTAAACGTGCTTGACATCTGAATAGCTCCGGCGCATTCACAGTATATTTGGACAGCAAAGCAGGACTATTCATACATACAATATAAATTGTAAACTTTGCTAATTTCATGAAGTCAACAGACTGAATTATAGTTTACTGAGTAACTTTGATCTCAGACACTTTCAACAAAACGCAAGTTTAAGGATTCTAACCTTTTAGGACCGAGTTATTGCAGTTAACATTATATAGTTGAGTATTTGGAAACATTGACAAACATAGTTTTAGACTGTGTTTAAAAAGGCACACGTTATACTTTCCTCTAATTGTCTTACAGTGTAAATATATCTACATATCTACATGGATATCCTTAAACAATGAGAAGTCAAAAATTCAAGTTACAAATATTTTACACACAAAATAAAAAAATAACCTGTAACATTAAATGCAGTTATTTGGTTATATTTAAAGTCTTCCAAGCTTTCAAGTCTTGCAAGCTAGCATTACAACAGGTATGTACATACTAAAACACTTCATATATGTTATAAAACACACAAATTTCATAACAAATCAGCGTCTTAGTTTGTATTATGTTTCAGACTTTTCTGAGGGAGTTTATCCCTATGTGCTATATTCACACATCAACATTAACAAGCTTCTGAATAAGAAAACTTGACTTGATAAAGTGTGATTTTTGTCATATTCATATGAACAATAAGACTAAACTGATCCATCAGTCTCCCTTACACAAGGATTATTTGTAAAATTATCTGCTCAAGTTCAAATTCACTGTGCTTCACTACTGCATTCTTTTACCAGATATTTTGCAACTAACTTTTTATTATAAAGGGAAGGAAATATTTAAAGCAATTAACCTTAGTCACATTGAAGGAAAAAATAAAAAACCTGGGAAGTGTAAAAAAGCTTTTTTTTTTTTTCCCTTCTCAAGTGTAATTCAATAGGCAGATAGTTAAATAAGTAGTCTTTTCAGGATAAAATATTTTAGCACTTCTTGGAGAAAAATTTTAAGTATAAAGCTTAGATAGGTTAAGGTGACTAAATAATTAATACACTTAAAGACAAGGCTACATCTTATAAAAATGTTCACAAGAGTGCTAACAAAAGCAGCACTGGTAAGGTACTAAAATTTGTGATTAGAATTATATTAGCAATACGAAAAAAAGCCAAATAGTCAAAACTCAATAGTCTCTCAACTCCCTGTTTTAACTGTAACACCGAGATACTAAAAAATCCTACGTTACTTTAGTTCAAAACCATTAAGAGCAAGTTTCAGTCTTACAAATGTATAGTTTGTGATGAAAATCCATACATATCCTAATACATTCTGATCTTCATTTATGAGTAAACATTAAGAGTGATTTTGTTTTCATTTTTAACCATTAGTGATAGGTCATCATTACGGAACAGTATAAGGCATCATTTATTAAAAAAGGTTTGGTTTTACTGAAGATGTAGTTTGGAGTTTCTGAAGGTTCATAACTCTTGGAATGTGCTTGCTATGATAGTGTTGTTGCTAGGATAATTCCAAGTATCAGAAGCAATACAGTTACACATATAATTATGAACATCAATTTCTGCAAAAAAGAGAAAAGTTGAGATTGAAATACCTTGTCAGATACAGAACTGGTTAAATACATGCATACATACATAACCACAGAAAATTAATAATACTGATATCTAATCTGAGTTTGGATTTTCTTTCTAAAGAATGCTTACTGCTATGATTTCCTATTGTTAGTCTGTCTTTTGTAACATACATGTAACCGTAGTTACAAGACAGAGCTGTCTAGGTAACGCTTCTGTGTTTTGCTTCACAGAGTAACTGTTACTACTCATACCCAACTTCCGTAAATATCATTACGTATAGAAACAAATGCAAGAGTGAACATTTACTTATCAAGGTCAAGTCTAAGTACAGTAACACTGCTTACTGCCACCCTCCTTGGATAAATATTTGTAGCCTGCTCAAACCTTTACACCTGCACACTTAGTGGAATTCAATAAAATGTCAGTAAAAACATGGTGTAGGTAATAGCTCAGAAGAGCTGCAAGGGGTGAGGGGGGGGAAGAGATGAGTTCTATGTAAATGCATCGGAGTCTGACATCAGGTCAGATATTGCTGACTAGAAGCAATGATACAGTAAATCCTGTTATCTGCCCGTAAACCAAAGCTGAGAAGAAACTGTAACATCAAACCAAAAAACCTCCATATTAAAAGAGTGTTAGTACAGAAAACTGAATTCCTGATTAGCTGTCTGAAATGACGTCCCACTCATAGCGCTTCGCATATAGTTTGAAGATACTACATGTAAAAAGTTGAGTTTCTATTGGACTCAGAAGAGTTAACTGCTATTTTCTACTTAGCCTGGCTAGGTGTTATCTTGACAAGAAATGGTAGATTTCAGCAAAAATCTGAAGATTGAAAGAATTCTCATATTTATGTCCTAAGGTTCCAGTTGGAACCTTTGCAGACTTCCTTTTACAAAGACATTGTTATCTCCCACTGTTTCATTTAGTCTAGTATTAATAAACATCTTTGAGGTAAGAAATTTTAGGATGTTCTGCTAGGCATCATAGCCAACTTTATGGCTGTAGCCATCTACTTTTATGAAAGCTCTACTTAAAACCACAGAAATCCCCATTGGATAAAGTTCCAAATGTAACTAGTATTCCGTAGCTTAGTGCAGATCGCTTGCTGATGTGAACTTTCACTATAAAAAAAAATTCAAAGGACTGCGAGACAGTAAGTGGATGTTTTGCTCTCATTTCCTTCTGTGTTTACAAGCCTTATGTAGTGACTGCTTTCTGTAAATTTAGCGGCTTACCACTAGATGTCAGTTTTCAATATCAACACGTGTAGCGCTTCTATAGTATGCAGAGAGAGATCCATCCACCAATGCATCTCAAGCCTACCCCCCATACTAACTGTACAGATATTAAGGGTTAGCAGAACGACACAAGAGCAAAATTAGTTGATTAGTTACTTACTGCCACACTGGCAGGAAGTCATGCATGCTGAGGTTATCCAAGTGTCACCGAATACCAACAGACAAACCAATAATTAGAGCAATTATGGCAATCAACACCAATGACACAATGATAATTATCCACATTTTCTGTCAAAAAACAAGGTATTATTATTTTAATATTAAGGACATTAAGACTTGCATTTATTTTCAATTTTTAAAATAGTTTTTAGATCCACATTCATTTTTATTAAAGCCTGCAGTATTCTCAAATTGAGATAAATTTATCTGTATACTCTTGCAGGCATAAGAAGAAACATTTTAAACAGTGCTTACAGGTAAACTAGTGTGATTAGTACCTACACAGTTATCAAAGATGAGAAAATCACCATTTACAAATACATTAAGTGGGCTCTTTTGACACTTCTTAAATATTTTTTTTTAAATATAACAGGCATGTTATCTATACATAGATATTTGTCTATCTAAAGATACATTGTTCCCTCAAATCCAACTTGCTATAAAAAGCCTCACAAAATTGCACAGCATCTCAAAAGGGGAAAACAATGTCAGAGCAACACTTCATTCACTCTGCAATCATGCAGTCACAAAATATAAAAATAAATTGCTTAGTTTGATTTCAGAATACCTTATTTGGCTTTCTGATGGGAAGATACGATACTGAAACAGAAAACAAGTTTCCATGCCAATGGAAAATGCCTGAACGTTACTTTGAACTCAGTTCCTCCACAAAATCAAGTGTCGTGGTTTAATGTCACACCCTTTCCAGAGGGAAGATCCCCCTAATCTAGTACTTTTACAAGAGTAAAAAAGTAGTTATCTGTAAAAAGAATAATTACAGATGGAATTCTAAAAAAGGAAGCCTGATTCAGCAAACCCCATAATTTTATTTTTCCTGCTAGCATGGTGATTTTATAGCTATAAATCCAAGTAAGTTTACCAGTGATAACGATCCAAAACCCTTTAAGCCTATTTAGAGTCTGAATAATTTAAGTTGATAAGAACCTGTGAATTTATCTACTAGGATAATATTAATTCTTCTTTTAGGGGGTTTTACACTCTGTAACAACAGCTTTTTAAGTGGAAAATTGTGAACATAGCCTTAGCTGTGCATGAATTGTTTATCCATTTTTGTAGTACAAAGTTCAAGTTTCTGTCCTCTACTGGTAATATAAATTTTTAATTTCAACTATAACAAATTAATTCACATTGGAAGTGTTCTGATTTCTTCCTGATAATGTTTTTTTGTTGTTTGCGTGTAAAATCCTTCGGTAAATCTTCCTCTGTCATATACTAATTTATAACAACGTTTTCTAATCTAATTTTAAATATCACGGCTACAAAAAAGTAAAATGCATACATTAAATCTACCTTGTACAACTGAATACAACAACAGAAAAATCAACTAAAATTGAAGGTCGCTTCATACCGTGCTAAGTTAATATACTAACTAGCACAATTATAGAAAGACAGCATACCCTTCGTGCTTTACTTTGATATTTAACTGCCTTTTTTGTCTCTTCTTTTGCATGTTCCACGTAATCTGATGCATTCATCACGTTCTTTTCTATGTTGTTGATCATTTCACCCTGAAAATGAAATTTTGAAGAAAAAAAATTTATTATTGGAATCCATGGATCCTTGTTTAACAAACCTAAGAGAAGAAAGGCTATAGAATATCAACGATTATTTTAAACAAGTGACTAATGTACATACCAGTGGCTGACATTTTTTCTGCTTTGATGTGTAAAGGAAAAAGGGAATGAGAAACACGGGCTCAAAGTTCTAACCAAACACGGAACATTCACGGGCACGGCAGGCATATTTCTCCCTTTTGCAGGAACAAATACTGAACACCTGAAAACATACCTTTGAACATGAGGTATGTTTTACCAGCCAAAACTACAGCTGACAAACTAAAGAGATCAGAAATCCCTGAGGTGCCTGAAGTGGGAAAGGATATGGACTAGTCTGACACAAGGTTCAACAGTTATCTAAGAAAACACACACATATAATAGCAACTTCAAAAGTTCCTCAGAATTGAGGGTTTAGAATGTCAATATATAACAAATTCAAATTAATTATGATGAATGAAATTTGGTAGTGAAATGGAGGATTGGTGAAAAATTACAGTAAGTCTATTACCTGTGTTTCTGTCCATCAGAAGAAATAATCAGCAGCAGTAAACAGCAAAGCGTTAAAGAATGATGCACAAGTAACTTTTGTTCATTTCGAATTCAAAAGAAAACTGCTACCAATTTGCCTTGGCTATATATTTAATGTCAAAGCAACACAGGACTTCTAGAACAAAACCCAATTAAAAAGAACACAGTCTTTTTCAGGAAAGTTTCTCTCCTGAACATTATTCTTTTCACTTTCCTGCATAAGTCAAAGAATTTTAAGAACAGAAGTTAAAAATATTTTTGTTAGATAATTGGTATGTAAAGACTACAAATAGAATGAGTTTACGTACATGTCAAGACAAAGCTTATGAATATAAGAGACTACTTGAATTATTTGTCAATCCCTTTGCATTCGTGTTAGTTATAACAGTAATCATACCTTCGTATTATGTGCAAGTTGCATGCATCCTTGCTAACGCACATTTTATTCTAACACAGTAGCCCTTTATCACGTCTGTGAGAATCCCGAATTCCCAAGATATTAGCCAGCATTCCAGGATAGAGTTGTTCTTACTTAAACATGCACAAAACGTTCAAGCATATTGCAATATAAGCATGTTGAAGAAAATACCAAGTATGCCAATTGAAAAGAAAGTCTATGCTTAGTTATTCATACCATATACTACATCTAGATTGTACATTTATTTAAAACAAAACAAAAACCTTTAGTGATTCACCTTGATATATTGTAATCACACTCAAAAACCACTGTAAGTCTGTATTATCTGAATATAAGCAATTGTTTCTGCATATTTGAAAGAGGAAGACTGGGGAAAAAAATCCCACTTACATAAACGTGTTTGAACTGGTTCATTTACCTGAGTCTCAACAAACATTGCCATGTCCATAAACATTTCATGGAGTTCCCGTATGCTAGATTCCAGTTTCATAATATCCTTGTGACGTGACTCAATTTCATTCAGAGCTTGCCTAGTTATTTGAGAGTCTGATATAATCTTCGGGGGAACAAAAAAAAGATACGGACATCAGTAAGTATGTGCTGACACCTCTAAATAGCAGAAGCAGCAGCAGAGAAGAGACACAACTGGACCAGAAATACATACGTCAGAAGTGAAAATTGAAGGATTACCGCTCTCTAACATTTCTTCCAGTTCCTCATCAGTGGTGGTCTTTCCAGCTAGGATAAAAACAACAGTACTTCACATAACATCACTTATTCATTATTGAACATAAAATTGTACCATACCAGAAGGATGACAATTCAATGAAAATTCTTGTATTGAGCATTTTTCAGGATAAAACGTGGTATTTAGCCATTACCAAGTGCTGTTTTGCATATAAAAAACCCAGAAAATATCAATTAATAGCCAGAAAACAAATGTTGGTTCAAAGCTATGATGAAGAATTCCTGGTTGTTGGTGGTGGGATTTTGGGTCAGATTGAAGAGTTTGATCAGAAACATTTACAATGTACTTATGAACCTTGTTAAGCAGAGTGTTCTTCAGAAGGAAGAACTTGAGAGAGAGTATTTATATAACATTCAATATTTACCTATTCAATCATGTCACATTGGCACCTAATTTACTTGCCCCCCTCCCCACCACTGTGTGGGCAATAAAATCTTCATGTAAACTTGATTTTACCAACACAGGATTACATTCATATTCCACACAGAAAAAAATGATTACCCATAGCGTACCTTCACTTCTACTTTTCTGAATACATCTAACAATTGATGTAGTTTATTGTTGCATATTTAATAAAACTGAATCCTATCAATCACGCTGGTATGACAAATGCAAGCGTTATGAGTTACACAACACATTCAAGTGATTTGAATTCTACAGTTTTAAAAATCAAACCCCTGTTCTTCCCATGTAAAATAAGTTGAATATCTGTACTAATGTATATAATTCTGTCCTATCAGATGAAAGTTACAGTTTGAATACTACTTTCTCATGTTAATACCCAAGAATGCTGCAAAATCTGCTTTAAAATGTTCAGTGCTGAGGAAAAGCTGAAGGCTTTAATTGGGTCGTAACAACATTAACTTAAAAGAACCATGTCCTGAGGTATTCGGGTCCCTCCCCTCAAATGTATAGGTAAAGAAGAATTTAACTTGCTCCATGAACTTTACTGAAATGCTGAATTGAACCATTAGCATGACAGGATAATGACAAATTTGAGAAGCACATGAAAAGCAAAGTCTTCTTATAATTTGCCAACATTTCTGTTTGCATTTCCTATTTCAGCAATATATGTATATTTGCTCTTACAGGAGATATTCAGAAAGGCTAATTTTAGGTACAAGATGTTACGGATTGTTTTAGACACCTTCCGAAGTAGATGCTGTAGTTCAGAGTAGAGTCAGGTACCTTCCTGAGTACTCCTTGTAATAATCAATGATGAAAGAAGTCAAATGCGAGTCCGTCAACAAATGATTAGAGTACATATAACAGCAGCACTGATTTTATGTCAGCTGAATTTAACAAATGTTCTTATTGACAAAAATAGCATAGCATAAAAAGAGACGTTGTCCTGTTTAGCGTGTTAATTTTGGAATGGCTTTTAATAACACTTGCTATCATCACAATGCAGCTTTTCTTAATGTTTCATTTAAAGTTGCAACATTGAAAATAAATGAAACAAAGGAAACATATTTTCTTTAATAATTTTCAATATAAAAGAAATTTAGTGAGTTGCCTCTATTTTCTTTACAGCTGAGTAGTATCAAGGAGTTTATGCCATGTGATAAAATTGTTTCTTTTCCCTCACATGCTTCAAGATAATGTCCGAGATGTATGATGCTTTGTACCGTCTTTAAGTAATAAGAAACAAGGGAGGTACTAACAACACAATTCCTCTTTTTTAAAAAAGTGTAACAGGTCACTTACTTATCTCTAATTGTCTCTGTATCCGACCTTTGCTGCGTTCTCGAAAAAGAGTTTGGGTCTCGTTGTATTCCGTCATGACCTCCACAAACTTGTGAGCCAATACAGAGTGCTGTTTTTTGAGGATTTAAAAATGTGGAACAAAAACATTTATTTTTTTGATACAGCAAATACTACTGCACAACAACTGAAAGTGGTATTTACATTCCAACAAAACAGAACATGAAGTTCTGAAACTATTTCAGAAAAGAAACTCATCCTCTGATTTACTGGAATCCTTTTATTTTCTTTAAACTTATTGTGGTTTAACCCCAGCCGACAGCTAAGCACCACACAGCTATTCAATTTAATAATTGAAATAAAATAATAATAACAACAACGATGACAAATAATTTAAAAAATGTAGTGAAAAGGAAAACAGCAACAACAAAGAGAGGAACAAAACCCAGGAAAAAACAAATGATGCAACTGCTCAGCACCCACTGACCGACGCCCAGCCAACCCCCCCAGTTTCTATACCGGGCATGGCGCCATAGGGTATGGAACAGCCCTGGGGCCAGTCTGGGCCAGCTGTCCTGGCTGTGCCCCCTCCCAGCTTCTTGTGCACCGGGCAGGGCAGGGGAAGCTGAAAAGACCTTGACTGGTGTAAGCACTGCTTAGCAACAACTCAAACATCAGTGCGTTATCAACATTATTCTCATCCTAAATCCAAAACACAGCACTGTACCAGCTACTAGGAAGAAAATTAACTCTATCCCAGCCAAAACCAGGACACTTATTAAGTTATCATACCTGTGTTTTTCTTATCCTGAGGTCCACTGATGTCCGATTAGCATTTTCACCCTGATCAAAACTTTGTTCAATAGCTAAGAACAATATAAGAATATTATAAGTCAACATTCAGTATTATTATTTAATAGCGTAGCTCAGTTATTTTGTAAGTACTATTAATTATTACTTTTCTCATGTACAAGCTCCCAACAGACGTGTTTAACATGTCAGGGGGAGAAGGAGGGTGGCAGTGAGATATATATCTGTATCTATATCTATCTCTATGAAAATAGATTTAAATTTAAATCTAAATAAAATTTAGATAAATTTAAAATAATTTTGATAATCAGTACAGAGTTTAAATCACAGTAACTACTTCAGTACTCTTAACAGAGTCACACTACTGTCTATTACTCTGGAAAAATTTCAAAAAGTGTAACAAAATGGGCTGCTCTTACAGTTTAAACAGTAAACACCATACCCTAGTGTTTATGGAAGGACAAAAGGATATAGTAATTGTAATATAGTAATATTAAAACATCCAATATATTTCAAAACATATGCTAAACAATTAAGACATACTCATAGGGGAAAGCCACAGGAAAATTAGCTAGTCTGAATTTAAAATACAATAGGTGCTCTACAGCAATTCCCTATGGAGACATTTATGCCATGGAGACTGTCTTTTTGCAGTTAATCTTCTTCCAAAACATCACAACCAACAAACAGCTTTTCAGTGGCAGAATACATTTCTACACAGAGGAATTACTTTGCATTGTGATTTTCTAGGTTATTTCTGAAAGCAAGCAAGCTCTTTGTCCTGTTCCACAAACTAGGCTGTGCCGAGACCTGGTATTTATCAGGGGTGAAACTTGCCAAGGGGAATAAAGTAGAGGACGATACCGTTACTGACACAGGCTGTACATTAGCTGGCAGGGAGGCGATTCCCTCTTCCCCCCCCCTTTTTTTTTTTAGAGCGCTGTACAATATGATTTATGCATACATAATGCAGTTTTTAAAGTTTAGAAGTTCAGCCGCAATGCATTAAGTTTGTAACACTGCTACCATCCTGAATTGTTACAAGCGACAGTAGTTTTATTTCTCCTCACAACTTACCCTTTAACCTGGCTCGGATTTTATTAGCAATCTTCTTTATTTCCTCATTTAATTCTTCAAGTTCTTCTTTTGTTCCTTTAAAAAAAAAAAAAAAAAGAATTTTTTTTTTTTAAAGGAAAAAAAAAAAAAATTTTTTTTTTTTAAAGGAAAAAAAAAAAAAATTTTTTTTTTTTAAAGGAAAAAAAAAAAAAATTTTTTTTTTTTAAAGGAAAAAAAAAAAAAATTTTTTTTTTTTAAAGGAAAAAAAAAAAAAATTTTTTTTTTTTAAAGGAAAAAAAAAAAAAATTTTTTTTTTTTAAAGGAAAAAAAAAAAAAATTTTTTTTTTTTAAAGGAAAAAAAAAAAAAATTTTTTTTTTTTAAAGGAAAAAAAAAAAAAATTTTTTTTTTTTAAAGGAAAAAAAAAAAAAATTTTTTTTTTTTAAAGGAAAAAAAAAAAAAATTTTTTTTTTTTAAAGGAAAAAAAAAAAAAATTTTTTTTTTTTAAAGGAAAAAAAAAAAAAATTTTTTTTTTTTAAAGGAAAAAAAAAAAAAATTTTTTTTTTTTAAAGGAAAAAAAAAAAAAATTTTTTTTTTTTTTCCTTTAAAAAAAAAAAAAAAAAGAATTTTTCTTTTTTAGAACTGCTAATGATTGCAAGGTCGAGTTGTAGATAGTTGCTGGCTTACTATTTCAATCTCATAATTATGTTCAGTACAACCACGCACAGAAGTACTTCATTATACTCCTAAGTACTTTAAATACTATTTTTATAACAGCATACTATCAGATTCCTGCTTCTTATGACAGGCCCTTACACTTGGGAAATGTTATTACCAAATCACCAACCAAACCAGCTGATAAAATATTCCATGTTTTTTTTTAACTAACACTTTCAGGGTAATATTCATTTGCTGGTCAAAATGAAAGTTAATTGAAGTCTATCAAGTGAAAATACAGATTTATCTCACATTTTTTTAGTTCTGTTGTTTATCATGGACTCATTGGTTTTGCCTTTATTAACGTAACTGTACCATGCACTACCTATATTTTTTGAATTCATGAAGAACTTAGCTAGATCTCTGTTATTGGGTTTACTGAAGACACTAAATTCACAAGAGCATATGTTACTTAAAAGCAATGTCATGTTCCTAGACAGTTCAGATGCATTAATGAGCACAATTTTTAGCACAAACACAAGCTGATAAATGAGCTGAGACCACAGATTTTAAACATTCAGATGAACCCTTATTAAACCTGAGATTCATTGGCTGTATACGATTGTTAAGACAAAAAGCAGTCTGCAAAATCATTTGTAAGAATACAAACATATACCCATCCATAAACAAAGAAAAAGGAGGGAAAAGAAAAACTAACATCCAAAGTTCAGTTTTCATCAACAAGATAAATGTTAAGCTAGCATTGCAACAATTCCACAAAAATATCTCAGCATCTTTTCTTCCCTTTTCTTTAAAGGCTGCCCACGAAGCCAGACATGCCTTGAATTAAGAAGTGCTGAGAACAGAGAAGGTTCCACGCTTCTGGATAAGTTCCCTAAACTTCTCAGTTCTCTGTTCAGAAAGCACATCTTCACTTTCAGCTTTGGGGTTACAGCCTCTACAAAAGGGCTCCAGCATGGAACTTGTGCTGCCACTGAAGCAGCTGGCTGTACCGTTAGGGTCAGACAGGATCGTGCCACTACTGAGGAATAAAGAGAAGATGATGGCTCTACCGTGTGAGCTTCAGTTGACAACTTCTACATTTTCACAAATTAAAAGAAATGCAAGTAGCCTCGAAGTTTCTGAAGACAATCAATTTCCAGATACCATATTAAACTGAGTTTTGGTCTAGCAAAGGTTTGGATGATGCAACAAATATTCTGAAAATTTATTTATTCAAATGAGACTTTTAAAGGGTTAAAAATAAGCAAATGAAAATATTAATTCAATATTAAATACAGAAATATTTAAATAATTAAATTGTGTTACACTTTGCATTCTGAACACCTGAAGTTCTATTCCTATAGACAGCTAAAACAAACAAACAAAATTATTTCAGAATATCTAGCCACACATATCTGAAATCTAAGAAAAGTGATACTTACTTCCTTCAGGATTTGGTGCTGACAGGATAATGCTGTGCTGCTTCTTCACTTCTTCCACATTTTGTGCTATTTTTGCTATATTATTTCTAAGTTCCTCAACCTAGGGAAGAGAAACATGACAATGAAAACATTACAATGATTCAGAGCAAAGACTACAAAAAACCCCATGCTTTATTATTTTTCTTACCAAAGTATTTCATTGCAACATTGTAAGTATCTGACAGAAATCCCAGCAGAAATGTTGACATTTAAACAGCTTGCACCTTTTTTTTTTTTAAAAAAAAAAGAAAAAATGGTATTCTTAATAGCAAATATATGCCATATGGCCAAAACCTTAAGTGCTACTATTCTTAATAAAAAAGATTTTAAAATTCTATAAGCAAATTCCTTGTCAACAGAGAGTTAAAAAAACTTCTATGCAGTAAAGACAGAAAATGCCCTGAAATAAACAAGCAAAGGTGTTACCAGCATTTGATTTGGCATACCATTACAAGGTATGTTGGGGGTGTGTGTGTAGATGAATTGTTAAACATAATTACAGAAATTAAAAGGCACAAAAAGAAAACTGTAAGTCTTTAATGCGTGGTGAAAACTATAACTTCACCTGTTGGAAAAAGTCATCCATAAAATGGTCTTTTTCAACAATAACTGTCTCCCCATCTTCGTTTCCTTTACACTGTAAAAGACAACAAAACAAATCTATGAAATAAAACTCAGGATACTGTTCTGAAACAACTACAACTTCTTCCACATTGCTACTACACACACATTTTTGTCAATAGCCTGTAAAGTCAAAAAAGTAAGTTTTCTTCTTCTGAGGACTGTAATTTAAAAACAAATAAGCAGAGAGTTCAAAGAAAGTCACCCGACTACCACAAAGTTGTGAATGCTAAGGCATGTACTCCTCCGTAAACAACTTCAGGACAGAACCAGTCTGTAAGTGATGCCACAGTTTTCATTACCTGTCATAAAAATTATTAAAATACAATTTAGCATATAAATGTTCTCTCACAGCATAAAGATACTTACACAGTGAGTGCCACATGAACTGAAAATAATATTCGGTTTACTGACACAGTAACTCAAACCCTCTCAAAGAAATACTAAGAGGGGTGCTGATGACTGACGTGTGATGTAATAAGCTAACATCTCATGAAAGCTAGAACAAAAAGCCATCAACCTCTGCTTCCTAGTTTTGCCCTTGGGTGTTTTCAAGGCTGCTATTCCACACCAATTTAGACATAATTATGCTACGCTAAACTATACGTGCATTACATAATTAATAAACCCTTAGACTAGCAGCCAAAGAGGGAGAAGCTCAAGTTAAGAGCCTCTCACAGACCTCCAGGGCACACAGCCCCATACGTTCCTTCCCCGAGTCATGCTTCCCTAACCCTCGAGCCAGCCCAGAAGAATATATATGGATCTGACAGTAACAGAGATTCAGATTTGCTCAAAGGAAGAGAGAATTAACGTGCATCGTATAAAGGCAAAGACCTCCAGCTTCCACGTTCTCTAGTTCCCTCTGTAGAGCACACTGAACTGCATCGAATCAAAATTAGGACAAAATATTACTCTACCATAAAAGTCAATGGGTTATCTGTTTGAAAAAACCTACAAGATAGGTAACATTAAGGGATTTTCATGTTCAGAACTCCTTTTTTCCTACAAGACCCTCTGCCTTTGACCTTCTAACACCCACTTTCTGCTCCTAAACCCTGATCCTATTACCCAATAACCCCTTGTTTCTCATTTTATTAAATTAGGTGAGATGTGAATTATTTGCATGACAATTCTGCAATTTAATCCAATGCCAAACACTGCTCTTATCTAATAAAGGAGGTCATACTCAATGAAGATCTGCGCACCAAAAATCTACTAAAACTGCCCCAAATCTTCCAGGAAAGTTATTACTCATACTTTGTGACAGTTCCTTTCCTGCAAATTCAGGGAGTGCATAAAGCCGTATGACAATATGTTTGTCAGAAATCATCTGTTTTTTATGCTCAGGGGAACCATAATGCTACAACTGAAATAAAGGAATTTAGATGTTATTGCTCTCCTGGACCACCCTCCAATCACTCATAATGCTGTGGGTCACTAAAGACTTCTTGTAGTTACTCATTTGGGGAAGATGATTGCTAGAACTCAATATTAAAGAATCTGTCCTTAGGGGCTGTCATCAATTAACAGTCTTGCTTAATACAAATAAGCAAGGAAGTCTGTGCCCAAATGACATTACCCAACTTTTACCCATACCAGAGACTGCAGTGCTACAAAGCTACCAGTTATAAGTTAATATTTAAGAATGAGCTACACTTTAAAGACATTTAATTTCATTATCTATGTAAAAGAACACCTTCTGCTTACATTTACTGAATAAGAATAATCTTTCTAATTGTTTACAACCACATCCTGTATTTAACTAATTGAACTAAAAATAACGAAAATAGTAGCAGCTAAGAGATTCAGCATGTCAGCTTTTAGTTTGGTCAGAAGATCTTAGTAAAACATTAAACACCTGAGTGAATCTTAAATGAAAGATACAAAAGTCTTACTCAGAAGCCCTGTTTGTGGATGCTAGGCTGGAAGGAAGCAATCATGGTCACTCACCCTGCAGTCCGCTCCACATTCATTTCACTTTCACATTTGGTTGCAACGACACCAATAACATATCAATTTGCTGTCTACAATTTGTTGAAGGATTTATGGACAGCCAACCTTGAACATCAGCACTTGAAAGATACCTGATGACCTGTCAAGCTCTATTCTCGACCTTCTTAAATCACCACTTATCTAAAATACAGCTTACTTGCTAACTCTCTTCAACTTAAGTGATGCACCTTCTTTTGACAAGCACACAATTCAACCAAGAACTCACTTTTGTCGTCAAGTTTAGCAGAAACATATTGTTTCTCCTAGACCTTACCTCCTCAGTATAAGCAGTATCACAAAAAACTGATAAAAAGTTTCACGTCAACGCCAAGAGCAATTTAATGACGTCTGTTTGCAGCTCATATCTTGACCTTGGGACTGAAAGTCTGGGCCATACAACTCCATAAACATTCACAGACTTATAAAATATATCCAGTTCCCTCAAAAGTTGGTTATATGACAGAATCCAGATATTCAGATGATATAATTTCTCAGCTCCAAGTAGAGGCTATCCTGATGGTTTATGAAACTTTTGACATTTTCCATACCTTATAGAATGGCAGAAATAAGGCTAGCTTGAAATGTCTTACCACATTAATTACTGAACTTTGATATTGAAAACAGCTTTTGACCTAAAAACATGACTATTACTTGCCCCTGAGATTCCAATGAAGGTTAGTTTTTTCTCAGTGCAAATCACCTGTATTCCTCTGGCAGGCTGCAAGGATAACAGCTGACCATCATCATCGTGATGAATCAGACCCAAAGTGTGGGTTATAGAGTGTTAGAGTTTCTCCTTACAGCATCAGTGTTTCAAGAAATTCTTTTATATCAGAGTAGCCAGGGAGGGCTGACAGAGGGCCAAGGAGATCTGTCGGGCAGCTCTGGCAGGTCAATCATTAACATTAGCATTTAGTAGCATTATTGTACAGCCAGAAAAACATCATAGGTAACGGTCTACAAGAAATTACTTTACGCTGACACAGAAAACATACAGCTCATCCTCCGAAAATTCCATGTTTGAGCAAAGACTAATGTAAGAGGTTAACTCTGGAAAAACAAGAACTCAGTAATGTTTTCCTCCTTCTGGATCCTTTTACTTTTTTTTTCCATACCACCCAATTCCACCAATTTTAACTTTTGTGACTCTGTGGTTCTTCGCTCATTCCTAAACAGTTTTGGGGCACTAACTGAATGCTCAAGAAATAGTTTACAAAAAAATCAAGTGCAGTTCTGTTCAAGTAAAATAATATAAATGTACTTTTCAAAGGTTATGTCTAAGATATCCTCAGTAACACTCAAAGAGTAAAGAAATATAAAAAGCATACATTTAAAATGATTCATTGATCAAGCAAGAAAAATGCATTTCAACAGATAGCTCTGCATCCATTTCAGCATATTTTTGAGCCACAGGAACAATGCATCCCAAACTTCAGATCTAAAATATCACACTTAAGCAGAGAAGGTTTGCATCCTACCTCTTTCTTAAATGATTTAACAACAATAACAAAGTTTGAATGAGTTTTATTAACAGACCTTTAAAAGGACATCTGTTTTTAGTGTCTGACACTGGCTGAATGTGCTGAACACAGATCCTACAGCTCTCTAAGTCATTTTAAGATGGACTTGTATCCATGAACAGCAAACCATTGAAGGCTGGGAGAATATGTTACACAATCATTGCTATGTACTTGCCCTGGGTTTTTTTCTCTCCTAAATATCTATTATCAACCACTGCTGAAAACAGCATATTGGATCAGTGAGAACGTTTTAACCTTCTTTTATTCTTACACTCATTTGCACTCAAAATAACTAAAACCAGTCTGGAATTTGATCAATTGTCCAATTAATTGTATTAAAGGACAATTCAAACAGCTGAAAGAAGTTCATTTTGGCCTGCTTGGAATAATTTAGAAACGGCATTAAAATAATCCCCTAGAAGTGGACAAATACAATTATGGTTGCTATCTTCTGAAAATGCATGTACTTTACAAGACTTTTTCTAGCTAGAAAATAAGAGGAAGCAACATTATCTGAAGGCTATATAATCTGCATGTCTTCAGCAATTTTTCCAGCAACTACTTTAGCACTGTTTAAACGCCTTAAAACAGTGTCTTAACAAAAGTATCAAAAAGTTATGATAATTTTATGTTAACGGCCCACAAACATTGATAAGTAACATTTCTCCCTCTTCTTTATAAAGATAAAGGGAAATCTAGGAAAATGTTACAACTTTTAATGACAAAATAGTTTGCTTGCTGTCAAATAAAATCCAGGAACACACAAATGGGAACATGTAAACTTAAATTTACATTTCTGCTAAAAGGAATACTGTATTTAATTAAAATAGGTCGGTGTAGACTGGTTAAAGTACGACGACCTCTTAAACTGCTCATGTATCACATTGGGTCTTTGGGGGAAAAGGGGTGGATGGAACTCACCTGTACGGTACAACCAAAATAACACACAATGACATTCTTATATTAAGGGAAAGA